TATCATATTCTTGATAACTTATATAACTTATATATAACATATAAAAAACTTACATGAATGGTGTATTTTTATATATATTTCATGCTTGGTGTACTTTTTTGATATCTATTTCAATTACTATTTAGCTTTCTATTACTAAGGAGTACACTCCTCTAAGGGTGTATGACACAGTTGCAGAGTGAAGTAGAGCATAGTTATTATATTTGATTTCTATTTAGTTTTTTGTACTGGAGGAGCATAGCGACTCCAAATGTGAAACATAGCATAGCATTAGTTATCTGTTTAATTCACAATTAGTTTTTTAATACTAAAGAGTATACACCTTAGATGTGAGCAACACAGTTGCAGAGCAAAGCAGAGCATAGTAATCTTTTAGTTATCAATTAGGTTTTTATAGTAAAAAAGATAGTTAAATTTTATTGTCTTGCAGGCCCGAAGGATGACTCAAAGAGTTATGGGTGGTCTTCAAGCATCGAGTATAAAATTGCATGACATAATATTCTTTAGAATGTTTTTTGTAACGTCCACAAGCAGAAGCTATAGGTTTTTTACAATCATTATATAAAATATGTTTTTTAGATCTCCAATGTTCATGGCACCCTTCAGGACATTGACACTCATGTCTGCAGACTTCTTTAGAATTGTGTATATATTTGCATGTATATTTACCTCCTGACTTTTCAATATATTTATCTCCCTTAATATATTCACTAAACATTTCAATAAACAAATAATTATTTTTTATTTAAACAAAAGATCTGGTATATTAATAAAAAACATTGAAAAAACATATTACTATAGCTAAGATACATAAATGTCCAGGTTGTGATCGAGAAATATGAACTGGTAAAATTCAAGATTTTAATAAACACATAAATTTAAATGAAAACCTTCGTAAAGGACAATGCCAACCAGCTTTGCTTATAATGCAAATTGTAGGAAATGTTACTCCAAAACAAAATACATCTCAAACTAAAAACATTACTCCAGAGCAAAATCTGCCATCAACTCCTGAAGGTAATCTCATATCATTCGATGAAAACCCACTAACACTTTAGCTGAGAGAGGCAAGTGTGCCAGCAGTTGACCCCTGGATAAGAGAATCAGAAATGAGACAAAGACTTAAAGTTCAACATCTCGATACTCTGCATTATCTAGTTCAAAGCAAAATAGCATGAGTTACTAAGATAAAACCATCTTAATTCATAAAAATATAGCAAATGGATTTGAGTTTTATGATGGGAAAAGAAAATAGTATGAAGTTAAAGAAGATTTTTACATATTATATAACAAATATCATTTTATTAAAGCAAATAATGGAGAAACAATTATAGAAGCATACAAAAGAATTAATGATAAGTCTGAAGCTATTGTTAAAAAAACCAATGGTAGAATTGATATGTGTAAATCTAGAAATTATACATTAACAACTATAAAATTTTTCAAAAAAACCACTTTAGTACTCCAAAAAAGTGAAAAAATAAGTGAACAAGAAAGTGCATAGATAGATTTAGCAACAACTAGTGCTCTAATATTTGCAGAAAGATATGAAGGAGAAGCTAATCAATATGATGTAAATTTAATATATATATTTGAAATGATAAAAAAAGATGCATCATGGCCAATTGCACCAGGTAAGTTTCATACTATAAACTCATCTTTTACAGAAAAATGGAGTAAATTTCCATATGGAATTTATAAAACAATAATAGAAAGAAATCCTCTAAAGAAAAGTCTTCAATGTACAAGATATTTACGTTATAATCTACATGGAATTTACACACATTATGATTTAGAATGTGCACAAAAAAATGGATTAAAAGTAACATTAATGAATATATTACCAAATGCACTTATTTATAAAAGAAATATACATATAACAGGAAAAGACATGTTTGATGAATGGGGTAATATATTATACAAAATTAAAAAAGAAGGTGGAATAGAAGGAAAAGTTAGTAAAGCAGTATTAGTTTCATTATGGAGTGCATTATGTGAGCAAAGAAATAGACAAAATTATAGTTTACATCCACAAATAAAACTATTCTTATTAGCATCTGCATAAAAAAGAATATCAGAAATTGTGAAGCCACTAGGAAATCAAGTAAAATGTATACATACAGATGGCTTTATTATAGCTAGAAAAGTAGAACTTAAAAAGGGAATAGAAATAGGTGAGCTGAAATTTGAGAAAAATGGAGTTTGTGTAGTAAAAAATTGTATATCAATTACATGGAAACTGTCATATCCAGAAATTCCAAATTTGATTATTTTCAAAGAAAATGAGCTTTGCTTTACAAATAGTTTACCAGATTTTGAGAAAATACAACAAGATAAAAAGCAGAATACAATATTAGATACAGAGTATCCTGCTTCACAGATAGCAAAAAGGAAACTATCAAAAAAGTCTGATATAAATCTTCTGAATGAAATTATAATAGAAATATTTCAACATTTACGAACACAAAATAAAAGATTATGTGGTAATAATGAATTATTGTTTCCAGTTTTATATGTTAACAAACAATGGAATGAATGTGCAACATATTTAATATAGAGAAGGATTAAATTATATAGATATAATATTAGAAATTTTGTTGAAATAATAAAAAAAAACTATTACCAAATGCGATAAAATATATAAAACAAATAGAATTCGAAAAAATAGATAATTATTTTAATATGAATAAATTTCTATTAAAAAACATTGCAAGTATATGCCAATATATAATAACTATATCATTTAAGGATTGTGGTTGGGGATTTCTTAACAATAGTTCACTAAAGATAACATTGGATACGTGCAAGAATCTAAACCATATATTTATCTATGAAAGTAATCGAATAGCGCCAAAAATTATCTTAAGTATACCAGAAAAATGTACAAGTATAAAAACTATAAAAATACAAAATTGTGAACGAATAACAGATAAAATAGTAAATCAATTATTGAGCAAATATCTGAAAATTAAAATTAATAAAATAGAAGTTGATTCATAAAATGAGGATGATATTGCATCTCAAATTATAGAAGATATATTTGATGAAGACTAGTTTATGGTAATAGATAAGTAAGTTAAAAAACTCATTAGAAGATAACTGCTTTTTTCTCACATGTTTGAAAATAATCTAGCTTTGAGTAATGAAATTATGAGAAGGTGGGATAATAAAACTCATATTGAATAAATTTATATTATATAAAACAAAATATAGAGTAAGTATAAACCAAGTATGATAGACAATAGTTCAAGTTTAATAAATGAGCAGAGCTCAGAGTTAATGATGCAAGATATTACATGGAAAATGATTGAATCAGCACAAATCAAAATAATAAAAGAGGCCTTTCGTCTTCGATATAGAAAAGATAATAAGCTTGTTAGTGAATATGCTGGATATATAAAAAATTTGCATAATGCTAACAATCAAGATGAGTATATAAAATATACAGCAATAATGCTTTTCCCAAATGATGAAGCATATAATAGAAGAATGTTAAGATATAAAAAATAGTATCAAGGTAAAAAGGAACTACTTACTAGTATAGAAGATTTATATAATCTTTATTATGAGCTATCCAAAAAAGATTGGCTTATGACTGAAACAGAAATTGAAGAAGCTGTTGAGAATGTATTTATAGATGAGTAAATTATTATTTGAGCACCTATGTGGGAGGAAGTTCAACTTTCTTAATTAATTGTAATTGCTTACAAACAAATTTTTTTTCTGGTCCATCTTCTAATTTATACATAACAGGTTGACCTTTACGAATTAAAGTACTTTCAATCTAATAAACCTGAGGAGACCAATTTTTATTTGTAATCTGTCTTATAGGTGGACCATATTCTAACTCACCAGGTTTAAGTAAATATTAAACAAAATCTTTATAAGACAAATGTGGTTTATCAAATCCAACAGGTTTTCTATGTTTTACTGCTGGCTCTGCAAATATTTTTTTATCTTTTAATGCTCTTTTTACAGCTTCATTAGGAGTCATATGTATTAATTGAGTAACAGTATTATTAAAAGTATTATCATTTATATGAAGACCTTTAACCTAAGCTCTACATCTCTTAGTTAATGGTAAACAAAAATCAATAGCATCTTATTTATAAAAAACATGTTTTTCAAATTCTTGATGATCATGTTCAGCAATAGCAACACCTTCTTTAGTTACAGCATACTGAATTTTTACATCATGGCTAAGTAATAAATCTTTGCACTCACCTAAATATTCAGTATCTTTGTCTATAATCAAAACTGTAGGCCAGGTAAGCAGGCAATTTGGATCATCATAAATTTTCTTAAACATTTTAGCTAATGATGCCAATGACTTATTAGTTAAAGCATAACTTTTACGAAATCTAGTTGCTATATCTTTTATTACTTCTCTGTGTTTGTAAATTCTATTGCCAATTTTATCATGGGGCATGGGGGTAGTATCTGATTGATGTACTTCATTTAAATTTTGTATTTTATTAAAAGAAGAATATTGAATAAATTTAGGGTGAGGCTTATGAATCTGGAAAACTGCCTGTTTGTTTAACTAATCTTTTATCACTGCTAACGAAAAATTATGTCTAACCCTTCTACATGCATCACGTATTTTTTCAGCAGTCTATTAGTAACCTTTAGGCTTATAATATAGTTTTTGCAATATGATCTCCCTATCTAAATCATGGGCCCTTTGTGGGTCAATATAAATTATGGGTTCTTCATTTCTTTGTTTTATTATAGTAATAAAAAACAATGAATGAGTTACAACAAACTAACCAAGAACTCTATGAGGTGGTATCACAATTAGCTGAATCAAATAGGAATTTTGAACAACATCTATATACCTTAGAAAAAGTTATTAATATACAGAAAGAAAGAATTCGATTTCTTGAAGAAAAGTTAAATAACACTATTAAACTTTCTAAACAAGACAAAGAATAATTAACAGAAGAAATTTCAAAATTAAAATGAATTGTCCAACAGCTTGAAGAGGAAAATAAAAAGAAAGACAAAGAAATTTCCAATAAAGATAAATTGATATCAGAATTTGACAAATGTGAAACCAAATTAAAAATCCAAATACGAGAAATATCAAAATCTGCAAGTAATATCTCTAAGGCACAAGATTATACAACAAGATTAGTAGATGAAAATGAACATCTTAAATGAGAAATAAATATGATAAGGACTAATCAAATAAATAGAATTAACAAAATAACTCAGCAAAAAAACCATATTACAGACCTTCTTTGTCAAAATTTTGCATTAGCATTATTGAAATATCGAGATAGGTTAGAACTTATAAATACCAGAGAGGCTCTGCAAAATGCAGAAGCATGGAATCTTAATGAAAATAAATCTGATCCTAATGAAAATTCTTTAGATATTTATAATCAAACTTTAGATATAGCTATGATAGCTGAGTTAGCTGATGCTATAGACCGATCCCTAAATGATACAACAATCTGTAAAACAATTTTATCAAATCAAATTAAAAGATCAACAAGACAGATACATCGAAAATATACTAATCTGCAACAAGATCTAGTCAACGAACAATTGTATAGTAATATGTATAGGCAGGAACGAGATCAAGCATTGCAAGAATTACAAGAATGTAAGACAGATAGTACAATTACTACATATCTCTTATATATCATGAAAAATCGATATATTAAATAGAAGAGAAAATGCAAAACTCTAAAAAATGATCTATTATATGCTGATATTTAGCTTGATCTCAAGTGGGGGAAGTAGAAAAATAGAACTCGCAATGCCAAGCAATTAATTTTAAATTTATAGCAACAAAATTTTGCATTAGTAAATAATCAGCAAAATCAAGCAATGGCAAGTAATCCATTACCAACATTTTTAGGTAAACATGATAAAAGCATATCTGATTTTCTTGCACATTTAAGAGCAGAATTAGAAGGTCGAAATATTAATGTTGCAGATAGAGCAGGTGGCTCTCTAGCAGAAAGAGTTATCACAAAGAGTTTACTGTATAGTTGTATGAGAGAAAAGGCATTAGAGTGGTATGATGAAAATATTACTACTAAGCAAAACTTTGAGTTACATAATTTGCTAGATAATACAGGGCAAGCTAATATACAAGCAGTTGCTACACATACTGGAGCACAATTAGGCAATCAAGCTCTTCATGAAGCAAACAGTTGACATGAAAATGTAATAATTCCATTAAGAGCAACAAATGATCCTTGGAATGAAGATTGGAGTATCTTAGATGGGTGAACAACTAATAATGCTCCTAATGCTCCTAATGCTAATAATACTTGTACAGTAGTTGTAGCAGATATAAGATTCAGTAAAGCCGTATAGTTACTGAAAACAAAATTTCCAACTATCGAAGAAGAAATATGGGCATTAACATATAGAACATTAATGCAGAAATATGATACTATAGAGGATTTTGCCAATAAAATAAGAAGAGCAGAAAAACTAGCAAATTATAGAGATGAAGATTTATGAAGAAAATTTCTAGATGGTTAGTACCTGAGTGGTTAGAAAAGCTGAAGATATAGGTGAGGATATAACTTTTAATGAATTATCTAAAAAACTTGCAAAAATTGAGTTAATTCGGATGGTAAGAGTGAAAAGAAATAAAGGTGGATCACATATTTATGAAACAGAGCAGGCTATATCACAACCTCACTATTCATCTATTGCTTCTGCTATTTCAGATGCTATACCACAACAACCAGTGGCTGAAATGCAAAAAATAATTCAGAATGTATTAGCAAAACAGCAGGCTGAATCTGATACCAAGTTTGAAAAATTAAAAGCTAAATTCGAAACAAAAATGACTCAACAATCTAAAAAATCTTACCCTCCAGTTCTACTCAAAGATTATGAACAAATGCATAATTTCTATGAAGGTGAAGGGGATCCTAGATAGTCAAATCTTTCTAGAAAAGAAGCACTATAGTGGGTATATTAAGCTTTCTTCCCTCCTGTATCAAGTAAACCAGAATGATTACATTCGTCAAATCAAAATGCTAGAATAGATAAAATAGAATCAAAAGTAGATAAAATTGGCCAAATGACATCTCAATTCGAGAGAATGATGCTTGATAATAAACCCAAAAAACCTATAGCTAAATTAAATTCAACACATTGATACTTTTCTTCACTAATGCCTACTCAAGCCCAATACACACCTCCCGATTCAGAAGATAATGATAAAGATAATGAAGGTGGATATAATGAGGAAGAGAATAGATAGCATGCTCTATCTCAGTCCAAAAAAAAATAGGTATTACTAGTAGATAATAAGTCTCATGTTAATACATGAAGTACTCTTTCTATGAAAGATATGCTACCCAAAACTTATAATCAACTAATGAGTTCATTATCACTAGCAATGCAAAAAATATGTAAATCTAACTAGTCTTATAAGGTTCAGGAAGAAACCAATGAGTAGTTCTCATCAATACAATACCTGCATAGCAATATAAATGATTTATCAATCTCTAATAGTTTTTTGGATCCAGGAAGCAAGTTTGGTGCTGTTAATAATGCAACTATCAAAGCATTTGAGTGGAAAAATAACAAACAATCCAATTTTGCTATAAAAAGTAACAATTCTAAACATATTACTAAATCATTAGGATGGATTACAGATGTTCTAGTCTCTATAAAGGATAAGGCAAAAAAAACAGTTACAGTTTCAGAAAATTTTGCACATATTGATAATGGTGAACCAGAACCAATGCTATGTATAGATATAACATGGATTTGAAAGGTTCAAGGTATTCTTGACCTAAATAAAAATCAATTTCACATGAAGATACATGAGAAGACTTATGATATTCCAACATTTAGTAAGCCTCCAAGCATCAGATATGTATGATAGTGAGGACTTAAAAAAAAATATGACTCACTTGAAAAGTGACTCATAAAAACTAAAGGGTGGCTTGATATAGCTCTAAATGCAAGTAAGGTTCTTGCAAAAAGATGCTCTCAGCTTACTGAGGCAAAGACAGGCACATAGGAGCTAATTTTTCAGTATTTTTTATTAATTTTTCAAGATTAGCTTTTCTTCTAAATATATCAGACAAAGTTTGTACACTCTGTGCATTATCTATAGAAGAGATATTTTTTTCTACCATATGTGATGAAACTTTGGTATTATGTTCTACCTTATTTATACTAACTTTCTTTTTTCGGCTAATCTTTTTTGTTGATGTTTCCTTAGCTGAAATCTCTTTAGTGTAAGGCTTATCTAATGTAAGATCTTCATTTAGATCAGAAGGTGGAGAATCATTCCAATTATCAAGATCCTGCTGAAGACAGTCTGTATGTTCTCATATTTCATAAACATGACAAGCACCAATATGAAATTTTTCTGCTATTTTTTTCGATGCATTTGGTATTTTTTCTCTTGAATCTCTAATTTCTATAATATCAGACTTTGATAATCAGGTTGCATTGGATCGATAAAAGTTTTAATAGAGGTGGGTAACTATTTTAAGTTAGAATATATTTAAAAAAAAAAAGTATTGATAATTTTTCAAAACATATTGCTGTTACTATAATTTTAGTATCTATCAATATGTATTGTTTCTTTTTGATAGACATCAATATGTATTGTTTCCTTTTGGTAGATATCAGTATATATTAAAATGCATCAATACATAATAATATAATAAAATATAAATTTTTAATGCGCATTGATTTTTTAAAAATAAGTATTGAAACATATTAATAAACTTCATATGTAAAGATATCAATATCTACTGATTTTCCTGTGTAGGCATTGATTTTTTAACAATCTATATTTACATTTACTTAACTAAAGTATGACTTGGATTTATACATTGTCAGATATAGGTGAAGGCAATAAACTTGAAGACTTATCATCTAATCGATATCTATCCAGTTGAACTGAACTTGAAAACCTGCTTAATCAAGCAAATTAAAATCGTGAAATTGCTATAGAATGTGGCAATCGACTTGCTCATAAATGTTCTATCTTGGATAAAAACAATAAGCATATGCAACAGAATCTAAATTAATCCAATAAAGATAAAGAGAAACTCTCCAAGCATATTTACCAGCTTATAGATGAGGTTAAGCGATTGCACTCAGAGTTGGATACTCTAACAATTCAGATTACTTGCAAAGATATTTCTCTTAATGAATCTAAGGTCAAGATTCATACAAAATTAAAAGAGATGAAGGCTCTCCAGTCTAAGATAAAAGCATTGGTGACGAAACTATCTTCAGCTCAAAAAGACTTATCTATAAAAGAATCTGAAATTGATTCCTTCAGAGTCAAATTATCTGCCTTAAATTCTAATCTAGCTTCAAAAAATAGTAAATTAGAGTATATGAAGAATATGTTAGCTTCAAAAAATAGCGAATTGTTACTAATGAAAAATAACTTGGCTAAAAAAAATTCAGATATACACTCCTTAGAAGCTAGATTATCATCAGAACAAATCAAAATTAGAGGTGAAACAGATGAAAAAAAATATGATAATAGATTAGCTATGCAGTCTTTGCCAAAAGATCCAGACTTTTTAAGAAAAAGCCAACCTTCTGAAGCATGCGAACCCAAAATTTTATCTTTTGCAAAATATTTAGTATGTAAATCTAAGACAGAAGATGGTCAGGTAAATGAAACTTCAGATACAGAAGCATCCTCACTTCATGTGACTAATTTGAGTAATAGCATGTCTTTATCAGATATTGCAGTAAGTAATATGCCTGAAACTTTACCTATTCAATTATTGGTTTTGCAACCTTGTGAACTTATATCAGAAAAAAAGAATACCTCTGTAATATATAGACAAAGTCTGGTGGGAAGGGCTGAAGCATTACTCATTGTAGCAGGTGCTGGCAAATCTCTCATTAACAATGAGTATCAAACATCTCCTATTATCAAACTAGGCATCCTTGTAATAATAGTAATATTGATTATATGGTTTCTATATAGGCTTTTTTTAGACAAACACAAATCAGAACCTAATGAGAGTCTAACCTTAAAAGCCAACAAATATTTGCCACAAATTATTAAGAAATATATATTACCTTTTCATAAAAATAAATATGCAAAAGATCTCAAAGACAGAATTACCTCATATGAAACTTTTTCTTATGGATATGAATGAGGCTACAAAACATGCTTCATCATGCTGTATTGGATATTCATCAATGTCATAGCTATTCGCTAAGCTAGTTACAGGAAAAAGTAGCATAGGTAAGACTAATATACTTGGGAATCTTGTTCTTGGTAACAAAGGTAAACATATATATAAAGAGAAAAAGTGTGGATCTAGATATATATGATGCAATGATTTGATAGTTTGTGGATATCTCTGGATGAACCTAAGTGGGCATTTGTTAGATATATGTATGGAATTATCACAAGTAATCTGAGAGCACCATATTATAAAAATATTAAGTTTAGTTATATCTCATCTGAAAAAATTCCTAGTGTAAAATCATTCTCACTAAAGAGAAATATGGTGATTATTTTTGAAAATCTATGCATTGCTTCAGAGTCAATACAAAATTGGATTATTCCATTCTTTACACATGGATGCCATTGGAACATTAGTCCAATTTACATAACACAAAAATATTATCATGTCCTAGTAATTATTCGGAAGAACCTTTCTCATTTAATAATGTTTAACTCTGGTAGCTCACATGAAGACATTTCTGAAATTATTCGATGATATACTAATGATGTGAAAAATGCTTCCATGGTTATTAACAGATACCTCCATAAGGAAGAATTTATTGTGTTTGAACTAGACAGGCCAGAAGATGATCCACTTGCAATTCAGTTAAGGTTCGATACTCCACTAGATTTGCAAAAAGAAATAGAGTTATTGCAAAAATGCAAAATAAAAAATGCATTACCTGCTAAGTCCACGAATTCTGAATCTGAAAAAGCTAAAAAAAAAATCAAAATGAAAAGTTTGTTAGCATTAATCTTGTTAGAGTATACACTTCATAGATTTTTATTTCACATCGACACTTTTTTACCTGAGTTGACATAAAGAGCCAAGATAATTTGTTTGTTTACAAACTTCCAAAGCACTTAATCGTATTATATACTCAGAAATATGAAAGTGGCTTGCTATGCAAGAAAATTATTGATAAAAAAGATACCCAATTGTGATCTCAAGAATAGTATTAGGAAAACGATGAACAACTACTCTATGCAAAAAAATGTTATCAGCTCTCAGGGATAATGAAATAAAGTCTAAAGTACCAACCCTCAGGGATATTTCAGATGATTTTATTTTAAATAGATATATATATGAATAAGTTATATAATTAATAAATCAAATAAATAAATTAAATCGAATAAATAGATGTGTATATTTACACTTCAAGTTCCAAAAGATGCTTTTGAAATCTATCTTGTAATTGGTTTTTCTTTCTACCTATCCAATCATACGGAATATAAAATTCTTCATATTTATTATTAATAAAGTGGCTGATCATATTAGAGTTACATCTCCTGTACATTGCAATTTGCTTAGTATTCTACAAATTAAATTGTTCTTGAGTTTGAGGATTTTTCACTTTACGAGAAGTTAGGCCTAGAAATTTCTCATTATCTGAAATATTATTATTTGGTAAACTCAACCAGACAAGTTGTGCATTTGATGGCTCTCTTTCTTTAAATCATCTCCAAGTATTTTAAATAATTTGTGTATGACCATCTTGAGATTTAGGTTTATTACATTCATGATCCCAATGATATTTCATCAAATCTGCTGATTCAATCTTTTCAATATATCTATAGAGAGTGGAAGCATATATTTTCTTTGGTATTACATTATTAACATGAATAAGCTTCATACAATCTAGACATATCGCCACATTGGCCTTATAGATTCTAGGTCTATAGTAGTCATAATTAACTAGCTTAGAATTTCCAAATACACCAAATAAACTATGTATGTGATATATACTTCTTTTCTTTTTAGAGGCCAGATCTTGTAAAGGAACTCTCACACGAATAGCCTATTGCTGTAGAGTTTTATTTGGTCGAATAACTGATAAAGTATCATACTATCTTTCGACTTCAAAGAATTGTTAATAATCATTAATACCACAATATTTGTAAATATATGACTCTACATATTTCATATCATATCCAGATTGATTATTAATAAGTTTTTGTGATTTAACTTTTTTATCAATAATAGTAGGAATAACAAGACCTAACATATTTGATGATTTAATAGACTTATAGTTCGTTTAGTGATTATATGAGTCTTATAGACCTATTAGATTTTATTAACTATATACTAATGAATTATGATATTCTTTTTTTTGAGTACTCGAAATATACAAAAAAGCAAACTGATTATAATCTAATTCTAATTACTTTTATATTTTGCTGGTAAACCTCTTCTTGCAGGCTTAAGATCTTAAATAAGTAGAAGCAAACATAAATATTGAGTTTAAAAAATGACTACATGAATTTTTAACATAGCAAATACACTTACCAAGACAGCTTCATCTTGAATTGTTCATTTTTGAAGACTGTGAACCTAATTTTAAGGATTTGGAAAGCTTCCTATCCTGTATAGTATGATTTTTTAATATCCTGACTTTTTTATTTTTAACATTTATGCTTATACCTATATCGATATTTGAATTGATATCTGAATCTGAATTGCTAAATAGAGTGCTGAATTTTCTATATTGTTTGATTGATGTTGCATGTACAAAGAAAACGACACTATGATGAATACCAGAAATAATCAGAAGATTATCATAGACCAAAATATTTGATCTAAAAGCTATAGATTGTCCCTGTTTTGCATGTATTATTAACTTTAATTCGGGAAACACCAATTGCCCACCTTTGAATGATCCAAGTAGACATACCATACAAAGTAAATCATAGTAATCTTTAGGTCTCAGTAGAACTGAGAGATAATATTAAAATTAACTGCTATCATGAAAAAAGCACCAAATGATTTTGAAACATTTGGCCCAAAATCAAGTTTTCTCATCTTTATATACAAGGCCAGATATGTGTCTCTAATATAACCATTAACAGCATCTGATAATGGTTGAAGGTTTTGTATTAATCCTTGAACACATTTTAAATGATCTTGGTTGTGGGATGAGATGGTATTTGTAGTTGTGTAAGGTTCATTATTATTGCCTATGAAAATACCAAAGTGCTCCACTAACTCTTTTTTAAATTCTTTTGACTGATGCAATGGACTATTAAGCATATGAACATAGTATTGTTCTACTGCTATCTTTGCACTTTTTGTAAGCCTGGAACTTGGAAAGGTGAATAAATCCATCATTGGTTCTCTAAGAGCATTCTTAAAAGTTTATAGGTCAAATATGTGATGATACCCTTTTATATTAATATTTTCCTTTACTATTTTATTAGTTAATATACTAGCAATAACTTGCTTATCTTTTAAATTTCGACTAAGAGCCTCAGATGTTATTGTTTGCTCTAATGAAACTTTTTCTGCCTTTATGCATTGCTGATATGCATATTTCATCTTGAACCAGAAGTACTGGCAGTGATTACGAATCTGCTTGTCGATGGTGGGACTTGTTGCAAAAAAAGCTCATAACCCAAATTGCTTTTATGCTAAATTTGAATTTTTATTTGTAGCTTTACCATGATTAAAAACTTCTGATTCTAATAAATATATAAATTTAGCAAGTATTTGAAAAATAGTTAAAATCAGATGGATTACTTGAGTAACTTGTAGTTGTAGTGGTTTTTCTAAATCAATGCCAGAATTGTAAAATTCATTCTAAACATTTTCAAGATCTAAATTGGAAAGTACATTATATTTAAAAGAAAAACTGTTTTGCTTTACAGTATCCAATGGAAGCAACTCTCTGCTCAATAATGTCTTAATGACTTGTCGTTATCATCTTCTTTCCATAAATTTTTCAAAAAAGATGATTTTTGGGTCCATTAAAAAAGTGGGCTGAGAATCATTTATTGACTTAAGATCACTAGCAACAAAATCTTCAGACTTCTAATAAGATCGAATATATTCTTGAGTTTGAGTTTTAATGGATAAACGGGTTCCACTCTGGGTCTTGTGCTAGAAAATATATATTCAAAAAATTGTTAGATTGATATACAAATTTTTTTTTATTGTGAATAGTAATATAATTTTCTCAGTAGATACATTCGAATCACTTTATGTAGTGTGGTTCGGGAAGTTTAAAACCCATGAAGTTTGTATCACCTTCCTCCTCACACATGCTCCACATCAAGGATGATGATCACACTTTTTTTTAAGCTCGAAAAAAGATCTATTTGGGTTACCAATATATTCAGATTACCGATATATCTGGCTTCGAGTGATTTAATCACAAGAAAACAAAATTTTGAGGTAGATACATTCAAACTATTTCTTATCTTATAGTTTAGTGGACTAAACCGCAGGAAGCTCATTCGGTCTTCCTCTTCTTGCAACAAGATAATCATGATTTGACGATTATGCCCTCAATAATAGTGTTTTGAAAGCTTGGAATTCAGATTTAATTGCAAATAGTAATCTTATATTAGATATTGTTAAAGAAGTTACATATAATAAAGAATAAATGTATTCTAAAAAATACATTAATAATAAAACACAGATATATTGGAAATTCTCTATAAATCATCATAATCGAACTAGAACAATTAAGGATATGCAAATACTTGCAGAAAAAAAGGAGGGTTTTTGTATTTCAAATAAGTATATTAATAGACAAAATCCTCTTGAATGGCAGTGTAAAAAAGGACATAAATAGAAGGCCTCACCTAAAGATATTATTAAAGGAACTTGGTGCAGACAGTGCCAATATCTTAATATTGATATAGCAAATAATATTGCACAAGAATGGGGTGGCAAATGCTTTTCTACAGAATATAAAAATACAAATACACCAATGCATTGGTGTTGTATCCAAGGTTATGAGTGGTATGCCCCTCTTACTCGAATAAAAGATAAAGGTAGATGGTGTGCACAATGTGCTAGTATCAAACTTTGTGGTCTTGAAGCTTGTAAGGAGATTGCATACAGTAAAGGCAGTATATGTTTTTCTACTGAATATAAAAATATTAATGTTTTAATGCAATGGGAATGTAGTAAAGGCTATAAATGGTTTGCTAGTTTTAATGGTATAAAGCATGCTAAAACATGGTGCCTATATTGCTTAAATAAACATGAAAATTTATGTCGTAAAGTCATAACAAAGATTCTTGGCCCACCTTCTGTTATTCGCAGACCAAATTTCTTAAAAACACCAGAGTATCCTCGAGGATTAGAACTCGATATTTATTATTCACAGTATGGATTTGCAATAGAGGTACAGGGTAAACAACATGAGCAATACGTAAAGCACTTTCACAAGACTTTAAGAAGTAATTAATGCGTGATTAGATCAAGAGAGAACTATGCGACGAAAACTGGTTCATTCTTATAGAGATATGGTATTACAAAGATCTGCATATAATTATTCCGAAGTATCTTAAAGAGTTGGGACTTATTGACTAGCGAAATTGAAAAAATGTATAATTGAGCAAACTTGCCTTATTTCGTTAAACTTTATTATATATTATATATTGATTTTTGTCCCACTAGTCAAATAATGATCAACTGATCAACCGTATGACCGAAAAATTGTGTAATTGTCATATATTATATAAAGATCCATTTTTTATAAAATATTTTTGTACTTTTTAGAATTTAGTTTTTATCATTTTTGGGGGTCGTTTAAAGCCTGTCACATTATGAAATTTCCCGATATATTTCCCACATTATTCCGAACAACCCAACAAAGCAAAAAAGCACAAAAATATAAAAAATGGCTATCTAAACTGGTCTTAATGCACTAAGTAAAAGTGTTGGAAATAGGATTTTACTATATACCTATTAACCTTCCAGCCTATGTATAACCTTAATCCTTAATATTAATTAAAAATCGGAAAACTGGAAAGTGCCAGGCTTTAAACGTCCCCCATTTTTGGAAGCTCATAGCAACGCCATGTCTGAAATTATGGTATTTAGGATTCTATATAATAACTGAACGGTTGAATTTAAGGTTTAATAAATTTTATTCTAATGAACCCTAGAAAATCCGGAAAACTGACAGATTTTCTGTCTTGTTTTAGGTAATGCTATTGAGAAATCTTTCCCAGTTGATATTGATAAAGGCATGACCATTGGGCACCTCAAAGAGTTAATCAAGGAGAAGAAAAAGAATGCCTTTGCCAATATTGACTCAAATGAACTGAGGCTGTGGAAGGTGGATATTCCTATCGGTATGGAAAACAAAAACATGAAAATATTTGCCGAAAACATTAATAATTATAAAGGTGTAGAGTTGCTCCCAAATGCTACTATGGAAACAGTTTTTTACAAAGAATCTGAAAATACTAAATTTTTTAGCATCCGCATCATCGCACAACCGCCTGGATCACTTTCCACCCCAATGAAACGACCAGATGAATCTCAATTTTATAACCGTGAACCTGTTACTTCTTATGAGGAAGAATTTTGGAATGAACTTTCTGACGTGTATATTGTCCTTAAACTATCAGATAATATTGATAAAACTATGTTTGTGTCTGGACCATTATCCGAATACATAAGTGTTAAAGGGAACGAAATTGTGTTGAGTAACTGTGTAATATTAAATGCACAAAATGAACTAATACTTAATAATGGTGAACCTGTAATGGGGGAATTAACAAAGATTAAAATGAATTTTGTGAAATTCCTACGTTTCCGTAAATTGCCATATGGAATTGTCTATGGAATATCAACACAGGATATATTAATAAAGGAGTCATATTTGCAGATGATTGAAAAGATTGAATACGATCGTACTTATTATGAAAAAAGAGGTTGTATTATAATTGGATCACCTGGCATTGGAAAAACACACTTTTCGCTATATTTAGCTTTTTATTTGGCTCGTCGATATTTCCCAGCAGATATAATCTATGAGCAGTTATTCCAAGATCATTCCCGTGCCCTTCATGTCAAACCAAATATAAGTGTAATAAAAATTCTTGATCTAATACGTGAATTTCCACAAGATAGCTTTTATATTGCTGATTCTGTAATTCCCGCTCCATGGAAAACGATATTCACGTTTCTGGTTATGATGCCAAAAAGTGGTCGGTGGCATGAATTTGTAAAGGGGCATGTTAGGAGGTATTATGCACCAATCTGGACTGAAGATGAAATTTGGGACGTTTGGAATGTAACATATAAAACTGAAATATCAGAAAATCAAGTCAAAGAGTTGATTACACGATGGGGGTGTATCTCACGAAGAATTTTTGATGAATATGACGAAGAGCCGAAAGTTAATGATGTAGTTTCTCAGTGTGATGCTTACGCTTACCTTAAAAATGATGGAGGAGATTTAGGTGACAACTATTCCGGAAAAGCCATATATATAATTCCTAACATTGATTTCACTGATAAAACATACATTCCCGCTTCACCAGAAATATGTGAAGCACTGTTCAGGCACTATAAAAAACACACAAAAGACATAATTGTCAAAATAATCTGAAGTTTTACGAAAGGTGCTGGCAGTACATTAGCCGGAAAATTTTTTGAAATGGTTGCACATGATATTTTGAGAAAAGGTGGCACTTTTACAGTACGACAGTTAACCAAAGACGGCATTAAGCAACCTGAAAAACTTCAACTTCAAAATTTGCCACAAAAACAGTTTCATAATATTAATGAAATAGTTCCGGGGTATTATAACATTCCCAAAAATGTAAATTTTGAATCTGTTGACTCTATTGCACCTCAACGTAATGGAATTCATCATTTATATCAAATTATGGCAGCCGAAACATATAATATAAAGGTAAATATTGGTCCTTATATTGGCCTGTATCTACTATTACATGCTGAATATTTATGTGCAATGCTTTGCAGGTAAACGGTCTCAGTAAATTGGAAAATCACCTGAAAGACCTAACAATTCATCTATATTTTGTTGTTCCAAACATGGACGACACGTTTAATAATTTTCATTTCCAGAAGTATGTTATGTCAGGAAACATAGAATATTCAGGATGGCATTTAACACATACTGAATGGATTAGAGATAATATAGCTCAATATGTTCTCTTGATCAATTTGTCAGATTTTAATTAGATAGTTTATTGAATATAAAATTACTAAAAAATAAATTTAATAAAAAGCATGAGTAACGGACATTTAAAGGGAGAAATTTCTCGAGCCCTAACCCATAGAATGAGAGTTCCTTCCTGCTACTCTGTATTATTATCTAAGTTAAAATTATTTTTACTATCTATCCAAGCATCTATTTTATCTAAATTGCTACTTTTTAAATCATTAATCCTACTATAATATTTTTTAATCATATCTCTACTAAGTTTTTCCACCCAAGATTTAAAACTCGAAAGGTGAAAACTGCCCCTAAAAAGACTATACTATAAAACTAAATGTAATAGATACTTTACATACTTTTAGAGGATCATAAAATATATTTGTTTTTTTGATCTGATTAGCGCTAGAATTGAGTGTGGAATCACTCTCTCTGACGATTGGGCTATCAGATTTTTCAATTTTAGCTTTTTTTTATAGTGTGTAGTTCTTTCTTACATAGATTTCTCTTGGAGGCTTTTGATAAAATATTTGGCAATGACATAGTGATAATATGGTAAGCAATTTTATAAAAATTTGAGAAAAATAAGTAAATTCGGAACAGGACTTTGTAGTTAACCTTTTTATGATAAATCATGACTTATTATTATTTAGTACATAAGAATCTAACACAAAGCAGTATACAATATAAATGACTCGGCATTACGATAATTCAATATGGATCAACTAAATCTTTATTTGTCATTATAATCATTTAACTAACAAACAATTACATTATTAAATTTGGCACACAATTATTGAACATGGCAAATCAACCTAATATGTAATAATACATTTTTTATATTTGGGATTAGATTATTAATACATAACTTATTGAAAGACATATTTGGGTATACAGGTATAGTAATAATTTTACATGTTATATTTAAGCTGGATCTACAAATTTAGAATAATTGTTATATACTTCATTATTACTGATATACATGTTTCTAATTTTTTTTACCAAAGTGCAGAAGTGTAAATACATAAATACTTATAAATATCTGTAAACATAAATGCATGTTAGTTTAACACAACCACGTAATTTTTATCATTGGTTATTAAATCGCGTCGGTATCAATTCGTACTGAAATAAATCACATGAACACATATCAATACTAGTACATTTGTGCTGGAAAAAATAAAGTATTTATTATCACATGTCTTAACAGACCTGTGGGACTGTCTTTTATTTAAAGCTTATCTACATCAATATGTCAGAATTAATACAGTAATATTGTAAATACAGAAGTGATATAAGGTTTTGTGACACTCTCTTGCAGAATTATTTTCCATAGTTGATTTTTTTTATTAATAATGAATATTACGAATAATGTGAATAATGCCTAGACCTTTTCTTACCCTATACGATTTTGCAATAAGAATGAGGCTTAAAAAGGCTATAAAGGTAATAAGTATAACGTTCTTTATCAGTAGTTTTATTCAAATTCATATGTCATATGAGGCTTGGAATCCCCAGATCTTGAAGATCATTAACTTTTTCACTTCACAGAAATGATCGTCAAATCTAAGAGGATTTAATTTACCTATAAAACAACAAAATAGATTCAGTATTTGGAGTTTATAACCGAACAGTGTTGCTTTGTTAAGTGTGGTCTGGCATTGTGTTAGGATAATGTAATTACTAATCATGTATTTTTTCAGATCTAGAACTGAAAGATTATGAATTGTAGACTTGCCTCTTTTTTCGGAAGCAATAGTACTGTACATTGTACCTGGGTATGCTATATAATACGAAATGAGGCAGTATAAAATTGGCTGGTTTTTATCTTGTAAGGTGGGTTACCAATAACTTTTTTTTCTGCTCATATATATTTTTACTTAATTCACTTGCCTGTAATTTATTTTTAATTTGCTATTTTATTTAACGAAGGCTATGAAAATGAATTTACTTACTATGTTTTTTGTATTTAGGTACGAAAAATGAGTAGTAATAAAAAAGCTACCCCAAGACTAACAATAGTAATGCCTTCAAGACTAATAATAGTAACATCTTCAAGATCAACAATAATAATGCCTCTAAGACTAGCAAAAGTAATGCCTCCAAGATTAGCAAAACTAATGCCTCTAAGATCAATAATAGGAAAGATGGCTATGGTATATAAAACCCTATCTTTTCATATATATTTGAAGTCAGAAAAAATAAAGCATATAAATAATTACTTATGTAGTAATATATTATTTAAATTAGATGGTTCGACCTATGACCCTTTAGAAGATGATGACTATAACATTGATGAAGGCAGACCTTTAAACAATCTTTCGAGAAAAAACTTAGAAAGAAAAGAGGAAAATGATAATAATAATTATAGGAATCCTGCTGAATGGCAGGAAATGTTGGATCAAAATTAATAAATAGTTCATATTTTTTGTTTGCAGTATGCAACTGCGATGTGTTTTTTTTATTTGTATATTGTTGTTCCGACATTTTTTATATTAAATAAAGTGAGCCTTATGGCCTTCCTATTTTTTAATTAATGCAATTGTGTGAATAGGCAGAAAAATTAGTCGATATGTAGTCGTAAAGTGACATAAAACAAAAATTTTATAAACTTATTTACAATTGTACTTTTTATTTCTGTGATCAGAGAATGTGATTTATTTTTTGGCTAGGCCTGGCTAAAAACTTGAATGAATTGATTATAAGTTTTATTTCAGTTCTCTATAAGATTATCAAGCCATGTAGTACTTAAACCACTCTTTAGTATATGAAATCAGCTACCAAGGCCAGCTTTATTAATATGATAAGAAAAGTAAAAAAAATCATAAAAAAAGAATTTGCTTGATGAAACAATACACTTTTTTATTTGGTAATACATTATAAAAAATACATGAGTTATTAAAATATTGTAAACATTGACATACTAGATCCTGATCTTTTATTTCTAACTATATTAGACAAACGATCGATTCTATCCTTAATCCACATGAAATTGTTGACTATTTTTTCTAAATAACACTTTATTTTCAATGAACTTTTCAAAAAATCTTCTACAACCTGATGGTCAAAAACTCTTAAGGGGATGGTATATTCACAGATTCTAAAAGAGTGATAAAAGGAATTATTGTAAAAGTTAATCCCAAAAACTAGCATACGATTACTTATCACTTGGATTTCTATGAAAGAGATTTGGAGAAGCTTATTGATTAGACATTTAGCTTCATCAGCATTAACAACTTTCTTCTTAATCAATTCGTTGAATCTAGCATCAAATCCATCCTTATATAGACGATTCAATTTCTTCCAATCATTGCTCTGCTTATCTGCACGAGGGTCTAATCACGAAATCTCAGTAAATACTAACTCTCACTTATCTGAATCTAGCATTAGAAGAACTTACAAGTCTGGCCTATCTTCACAATAGATAGAACACATCAACTCTTTTTGTGCTTGGGATGAATTAGACACCTTTTTCCTAAAAAATCAATATTGTTAACTATATTATTGAATAAGAAGTAACAGTAGAAGCAAAAAAGTTTGAACATTTCAGCAGAGTTGGCACAAGGTGCCAATGTATTATACCATGATCATTTAAGATTCCATTTATAATAATTAAAGATGGAATCTATGACTCTGGAAACTGCATGAATCACATAGAAGTTTTCACTATACTCTCTTTTACCTAATAACAGTCTTAAACTCCAACAATTTCTTCTATGAATTAAGCGAATGATTAATTTAACCAAGAAATGCAAAATATGATTGATTGTATTATTCTACTTACAGCCCTTCTAGTAGATCAAATGTTGTTAATAAAACCCTACATTCACCCAAATTATTTTCATCTCATGGGAATGTAATAGGATTAACAAGAGCCAAATCGAAATTGAGACCTAATAACTCATATGTATTAATAAATTCATCCAGCATGGTGATCATTTTTTCTAAAAATTCCGGTTCACTTAATTCAATTTTCTTAAGAACCTGTTTAGTCTCTACTAATAACTTATCTGTCATGCTATCTACTCTTTCAGAAATATCTATAATTCCAGATGCTATTGGATTACCCGAATTGATAAAAGTTAAATCAAGCTGTTTTAAACACCCATAAATTTCGTTTAGCACTCCCTCAACTTTCATGAAGCAACTGGCATTTACCGCATTAATCTATGAAGAATTCAATATTAGGACTTCAAAAAATAATAAGATGTGAGAATACATATTTGTATTTTTTACTTACATAATTATCGATTATTTCAGCAATATTTTTCTGGATAATCTCCTAATTCTGTTGTCTTTCTTGTTCTTCACACTAAATCAGAAGTATTTTTGATTAGCCAAATATAATGAATATCATCAAAAATTGATCAATAGAATTTACTCGTCTTTTTTCTGCCTGATACGCTTCACTAAACATTTTTTGTAATTGTCCCTATAAGTATGTAATAGATAGATTAAACCTCTAGAATATTTTGATGAATATATCATAAAATATTTTTCAAAAATCAGAATTGCTATAGATGTGTTTCATATTTAATATACATTAGTGAGTTAATACGCTAACAGACAATGACAAGATACTCGAAGGCATTGCCCATATCGAACTTAGCAAATTGTCCAGATGGTAAAACTCATGCACCTGAATTCTTTGATGAATACAGAGTCGACTTTTTGCAGAGCTAAGGTGTACACTTATAATTGTTGTATACATCTGGATACAGGGCATTGACATAGGCCTATGTCTATTTAACCACACTATTGGAAACATCATTTTATTCAATAGAAATATAGATTGATTATCATTTTCAACTACTCACCTGAGGTATCTTCGAAAACCTCTGAGATATTTGTTCCAACTTTTTTACAATGGTACTTAATTTTTGATGCTTACATATTGTTATAGCATCACTGAGCTCATCAGTGTATTGCTTTACTGCTATTTCAAGAACACTCTTTCTCAATAGCTCTACAGTTGGAAAATACACTTGAGGTAACCACGACTTAAAGTACAATTTTCTATATGTCTCACTATGGTTGTGATAAAAGAAGTTAGTGATGTTAGACATTTTGAAAGTAATAGATATTAGTTCAATTTTTTAATTACTATAAAGCGACAAACTCCTATAACTTCATTATACTCCTCTTTATAAATAGAATTTACTTTTCTCTGAATAGCAATACAAATGGCAGGACAATAGCAGAAAAAGAACCTATATGTGCTTTACACTATTTTTTTTACCTTCTACATTTCACTACATTGGTTATAGAGTGACCCTTAGGCATATGGAATGCATGTTGGAGATCTCGAGATCTTTAGCATTACGGCGTAGAAAAAGATCACTATGTATTATACTTTGCCTGACCACCTAGTAAAGCCTTTAGTATAAACCAAAACTATAAAAAGAAGTACATATGCATTTTGTTAGAAGAAGAAATAAATTTTTGTACTAGCTTTGGAGTAGATCTAAAGCTTAGGTATTATTTTTTCTATGAATGTTTGTAAATAAAATTTAAAAAAAATTCTATAAAGATTTGGTTGCACAGATAATGTATGTGTCATGAGATTGTTGCCCGAATTTGGGTTAGGGTACTATTTCAAGAAAAACTTAAAAATGGTACTTTTTACTCATTCCACATGAGTTATGCATAATGGTAAGCCTTGTAAGGTATTATAATACAGATAAATTTATATGTATGTGAAATTTATTCTAACACGTTATTACATTCACACTGCTTATATATTCCATTTGCTACTTTTTTGCATGTTTTGCAATATAGGTATGAATGGTAATTGCATTCATCACAAACCTTACACCTGTGCTTCCATCCTCTATAAATATGCCACTTTTCAATATAATTTTGGTTGTTTTTATTTGTATATGTATTGTTATGATTTTTTATTATTGTTGTATTAATAGAAAAATAATTATACATGGCTAAAAAATTTTTTATTATTCAAACCTGCAATGTGTTTGTGTCCTGTCTTACGCATAAACCTTAGATCAATATCCAATTGAATGCCTATATTTAACAAGCATTTATTGGTATGTTTAAACTTTAATATGTATAAATTTAATTATATAATTATACTTATATATGATTTACTAATAAAATATATTTATGTCACATTAGTGTCAACTTGGGGGACATGATCTGTGCTAGCTAAAATGCTTTATAATACTATAAATTTGTGTAGCATTAAGTTTTGAAATATAATCTGCACTATATGATTGAATTCATTCTATTTTTTTAATCTCTAGTCTTTTAACTACTGTTTTGGTTTCAGGATCATAACTTTCACCAAACAACTTATAAATATTTCTAGTTTTTGCTGTTTTTTTACATAGGCTTTTTCTTGTGAATCCTGAAATATTTGTTGCAATTTCGCCATAAACTAACCCTCTAGCTTGTTGATCATTAAATCTACTATTATTATTTTTAATTTCTTTAACCCTTTCTTCAAATTTTTTAGCAAACAGGTACCAACATCTAATTTCTTCTTAGTAGGCTCAGGTTATACATTTTTCTGCTCAGCTTGCATTATAATATAACTGGAGTAAAGTTTTTGGTTTCGATTTCCTAGTTTTATTTTCTCTATTATTATCATTAATTGGTTCACGAGGCATAGACAGTTCTTTTATTAAACCTTGCACTTTTTCAGATTCCATAAATTTTGTTTTACTTTGAGGGATAGCTCTATCATCATCTACAGATAATTTACTTACCTCTCCTGTTAGATTAGAGGTTTTTTCACTTTCACCTTCTACTGCCTCTGTCATATTTACATCCTGAACTTCAGCTGATGCTGGTCCTTCATTATCTATGAAACAAATGGAGCAAGTTTTTTGCTTATCTCTGTTACTTTTTTCAAGGCAGTCATAATGAAGAGTATGATCACACACTAACATAGTAAATGCTTTGGGCAGATTTAAAAAAATTTCTTCATTACATTCATGACAATTCTCTAGCTTTGGTATTATAATATCATTTGCAAGAGAATTTGAATAACTTTTTAGAAAATTTATTTCTAAGGATTTTAATAACTCTGATCGTTTGGAGTATTTTTTAGCAAGTTCTCTTTTGCTAAGTGGTTTAAGACTCATAGTATAGAATATGCTGAGCTGGTTTATAAAGAAAAAAATTTTCTTATCATTTTACTCTTATCTGACTATATACTATTTTCATATTGTCTGGGATTATTTGCTAGATAAGAGCAAACAGATATAATATCCAAATCATTACAATTACCTAAATTTTAGTCAGATAAGTATTTGCAATTTATTATTAACTTATCCTATTATATAATATACTTCTTGTTATTAACAAACCAAATTTAGATACTATGAAAACTAATTTCAAATTTGGCAATCGGATTCATTCACGAATTATTTAGTATGGGGGATCGCTCGATCTTTGCTAGCAATCATGGATAAAAAATTATGCTTAAGGGTAGACCTAAAGAGTTATTGCTCTGCAATAAGTACAGTTAGTGAGTTGGTTAGCATATATAACTTTACTAAAAAAATATCTAATAGGTCTGATTATTTTCAGATAAATTTATTGCAAAGCAGGCCTGAAGGAGGTGGACTCTAATAGAAGATTTCAGCAATGGTATCCGGAAGTATAAGTAGGTTATATGTTTGCATGTTATATCATATATATCAAATATGTGGATTTTATTAAGTAATCTTTTATCTTTTAATTTGAAAATTTTATTTTAATTTACTAATTATATGTAGTATATATTTCTCCGAAATTAAGTAATCAAGTCAGAAATTAATATATAGCATTATGTAGCAAAGCTATATATATTTATTCTTCCAGAATTTCACAATCACTATATAGGTATGTTGTAATCCCATCTTGATCTATTCACAATTTTGTATCTAGTGGGTTAATGCTCTTCTTTGTTTGCTTTATTCTATACATTCGATGTCTGTAACTTCAGAGGAATTGTGTGATTTGTGGTTGATCATCTTTTTCTTCTAAAGCACAGTCCTCGAATATTTTATGAGTAAACACTCTTTTGATAAGTAATTTTTTCAGGTCTTTTGCTTTTATCATATTTTTTCCTGAATTTTCATACACAACACTATAGCATTTTGCATGAACTCCTGTATAGCCAATAGCTCGATCTACCTCATTTTTATCCTTTCACTTACTTATAACTTTAGTATTTTTTAAAACATGCTTATCTTCTTCATTGATTATTCACTGATCTTCTGGAAGATTTTTTACTAGCTAATGATCTTCTGGATAGTTACTAAAATTATATAAATCACAATCATCGATCATGTCCTGATAAATATTTTCGGTTTTAATTTCTATGATTAAAGAATCTGTATCTGTATATAAAAGCCTTACTCGATCTTCATATTTCTTTTTGAGATGACTATACCAAAAGTCATACATAAAGTATTTGGAAAGATCAAGAATACATGCCCTTACATATTCTAACTTATTTAGTTTTACATTAGTTTGTCTTCGATGCACAGCTACTAAGTTTGCCCTATAGAAAATTTTTCGACTAACAAATGCTGGATCTGAAATTAGTCTTTGTAATCTACATTCTTCTTCTACCTGCCTAACTAAATCAATATTTACCTGTTTTTTAATGTCTTTCATAGTTTTTCCAAAAACTGAGTTGTTCATCAATTTCCAGAAATCTTTTTCAAAGCATTCTTTGCTTTTGCACATCATTGAGTATTCATTGCAATATATAGTTTCAATCATGGTGATTGTTCAAAACCTAGAATTCAATATACTTTTTCAAGAACATATCTTTCCTTTATACATTGTTGTAGATTTCTATAATGAATAACATAATGGTCCTTATCATGAAGAGTTAGTATAAGTTTTTCTGTATCTGAACGTTGCTTCCTTAACCATTCTTTTTGTTTTGAACTATACCAATCATATGGTACTTTTATTCGTTCTGAACACATAGGATAGTTCTGAAACTTTGAATATAATTCTTTTGGAATTGATAACTTAACCTCTAAACAACATCCTTGATTTGATTTTTCTTTTAATCTTAAAATTTTCTATACTAATAAATAAGTTGCTTCTAGTGGATAAGTAGATAGCCATTTAAATCTACTAGTTAGTAAATATTGGGACATTGCCCAACTATATAGATTATTGGCATCTAAGTAGAGTAACCATTTTTTTGCTTTTTTCCTGTCATATCCTTCTAGTCCAGGAACATTTGCTCTAGCTATATGCCTTCTAGCTAATGACATTCCACCTCTTTTCATTGCTATAAAGAAATTATACATATCTTCTTGATGTTCGTGAATAGTTCTAATTTTACTTTAGTTACCTTCATACATGCATCCCACGCCAACCCTGGAGCTGTTAGATAATTTGCCAAATCTAACTTGAATGCCTCATATGAAGCTTTTTGGAATGCCTCAAATGCATCTGCTAATATAAGAACATCTGTTTTGAGGTAAGTATCGTAATAATCAGCAAAGGTTTTACAAGCAGTTTTTTTCTAAACTGTATGAGCAAAATTGTAGTCCTTTTGAGTTATTGTATAAATTTTCTCATGTTCACATTCTTTGTTTTTATATCTTTGTTCACAATAATTTACTTCATCCAAGTCATATTAAAATCTTTTCGAGGAAGTAGTTGCATTTCTTTGAATTTGTTTTTACTAGTTAATCACTGATATGGAAATATTCCTTTATATGTAAGCAATAATAATAAATGAGGTGAGATAAATTTTGACATAATTGGAAAACATTTTGCTAATTGTTCTGATGTTTTAGTTTGGCCCTTCTTTTCATCACGTAAGTTTTCTGCCATCTTAGCTAAACCAGGTAATGAAAATTTCAAACTATCAATAAATTGAAGTTGACCAACCAAGAAAATAATATATTGTTCTGAATTATTTGCTATTGGCACTATTTTTTCATCTGTTACTTTTGCTATTTCTTGCATAAGATAATGGAAATTATAACCACTTCTATTACAAATTAGTACGGGATTTTTATTGTTTCTGGATAGATTTATAATTTTAAATTACATCCACTATGAGCTGGTCCTCTAAACTTTCCTGTAATATAGTTATGATCTATTACTCTATTTTTTTTCTCATCTGGTAAATGCATTTTGCAATACAAACATACCTTACAAGATTTATGTTTTTTTTTTTGCTCATCATCTAACTTATCTTGAATCATTAATTTTTTTCTGTGACATTTTCTATGTGAAGCACCCAAATATTTTTTGGTTTCAGGATCAAATACATGAATTTTATTATATCTAGCTTCATGTAATTTTTTTTCACATATCTAACATTTGTTTGCAGTTTGATATTTTTATCATAATTCAGGTGTCATTTTTTCACATAGAGCTATTTCACGAAGCTTATCTAAAATAACTTCTAGATCTTCTTGAAGGTTTTTCATTAAGTCTTTTATTATATTTTCTGATTCTCGATTAATTACTAGTTTTTGTGTTGTTTTATCTGAACAATGAATAGTATATCTATATAAAACTGCTATCTGCTCTATTTCTTTTATAGTATTTTCTTCTTTATCTTTTTTATTTGCTTCAATTTCTTTGGCTTCTAAATCTATAGTTATTAAATAAGGTTTCATTAACATGTTTTTGATATACTTGGATTTTACATAATTCTTATCTTCTTCTGGGAGAATTAAATGTTGTAAAGCCTTATTTAAACCTGAACATGTAAGAATATGTTTCTGTAATAAATCTAATCAACTATATAAAAATCGCAAACATTTTTGGCAAAAGTATTTTTTATCATGATAGTTATTCCACTTATACATTAATTGCTTGAAATCTGTTATATATACATAATGTGTTTTTAAGCCTTCTGATATATCATTTTGATTTTTTCAATCATTTAAACTCTCTTCACCTTCTATTAAATATAATAAATCTATTATATGCTCTACTTGATAATTACATTCTGAAATATGTAATAGATCTATATCTACTTTTATTTTTCTGAAAGCTTCTCTATAAAATGGTTTAAATATATTGATAGCATAATTAGAATTG